AGCTTATTTATATGAAGAGGTATTAAAATATTTAAAAATTTTTAATTGCTCAACAAACGTGTAATATTTCGAAACCAAGCAAAACTGAATATTATAGAGAAATGTTATATTGCTACAAATCGAAAATAATACTTTTTTATATAGCCAATATTAATTTTTTTTCCAATTTTTTTGAACTTTATCAGTCAATCAGCTAATGCAGTTCATCAATGCCACAAGCACAGCAGGATTTCAAATTTAGACGCACAAGTAAATTACATGTAACCATACAAAATAGTGTTGACGATGCCGAACACTCAAATATTTCGGGACTATCGAAATATTTAATATAGTCGGGATCAATTAAAAGCACTACACAAATGCTAATTCAAAATTTATATAAGTGTTGATACACCCGAAAATTTTGAATTTTGGACTCGTGATATAATATTTTTTTTTTGTTTTAAATTATTAAGCCATATAAATCCAAAAAGCATATTAGTGTTTCGTAATTCATATACATAAGTATTGTAAGTTCCGAACACTTTAAATTTCGGGATTGGGGATACAATATAATTTTTGTTTTAAATTGTGGGTTTCTAAACCCATGTAGACCCAAAAAACATAGTACTGTTATCAATCCCGAAATATTAAATTCTAAATTTTCGAGATTGACAAAACTTGTGTTGCAAGATATTCATTTTAACGTAGTACTAACTATTTAAAATAAAGCAAGTGAAGATTTTACAAGAGATTTTTTTGTTTAAAAATTTCTTCGTTGTATAAAAACTAATATTATGCAACACAAATCTTTAAAATATCGAAAATTAAGAATTTCGGGATTTGTAAAATATTTAGTTTGATTTGTGAAATAATAAATTTTTTTGCTTTAAATAGTTTCCGCTGAGTAAAAATTAATATTACGCAAAGTAAATTTTCTCAATACCGAAAATTAAAATTTCGGGATTCATGCAATTTTTTCTTGAAAAACGTGTTTATTGGATACAGATGAAATTAAAAAAAAAAAAAAAAAACTAAAACAATCCCAAAATCCAGAAACAGAAAGTTTTGAGAAGTCCAAGAATATAGACATGTCTAGTAGCAAAACACTTGTAAATATTATTGAATTCATTAAAATTTAAAAGGTATTGAAAGCTAAAAATATATAGATACATGTAAAAATACACACCGTACACAAATATGCATGTACATACATATCTATGTAACAAAGAGCGGAATGATAAAATATTTTTACAAAAAATTAAAATGTCTGCACCAACACAAAGCCAAAATATTTGATGAAAATCATTTCGAAATCAACAAATAAATAAACCAAGAAACAATTATTATAGATTACATAAATCTGCAGCACCTTAATTACTCATTAATAACAACATATCAGGGTGGTTACATTATGTGAAGTAAATAAAATCTATTTTGTGGTGTTTTTTGAAATTCATTAAGTGGTATATTATATAATTATTATATATAATTATTACAATAAGGTAATCTTTTTCCGGGTTAAGCCATAAGTAAAAGGCAATTTGTACGATTTTCATGGCTAATCTCCGAAATTGAAATATTTGCCTAGGAATTTCGAAATTTGGGTTCTTGTAAAATATTAATATTAATTATAGTAAGTAGTTATATAATTCGGACATAATTAAATCCGCTTCTTTAATCTTAGGCGAGTGTAACATTTTTCAGTCAAATTTATGCGACAGTTGTTGTAAGTGATCAAAATAAATTAATATTTTCTATTTAAATAAACTTTGACCCATATTGATCTTTCATAACATGGTACACAGTTGTTAAAATTTGGGAATTTGAGTACAACAATTAATAATAATTTTTTCAATTAGCACAAATTCGAAACTGGAGGACAATTATTTCGCATTTCGAAACTGAATTCGAAAAACGTTGAAGTTACACTTTTTCTTATGACGTTATATGGAAAAGTATAAGTATGAAATATTTCGGATTTCCTTCATTTCGAAATATTTCGGCATAATTTCGAAATTCGAATCAAATATTCCGATTTTGAAGGCTTACTTCGAAGAGAGTAAAAATTTCACTCTTTCTTATGACGTAATCAGAAAAAGTTCAATATAAAAAATTTTAAATTCCCTATCTTTTCGAAATTAAAAAAAAAAAAAAAAAAATTATAATGACTTTCACGGTTACTAAAAATTGATTAATGCAAACATATTTAGTTTATTTAGTATTTTTGAAGTAGTTACTATTTAATAAATTTTCATATAAGTATTTCTCATCATATTTTTTTTTACCCACCCTAATGTACATTTTGTAAGTTACCTGGCGGGTGGTTGATTAACACTGTTTAACTGCGGCGAATTGTTTGCTTAATTTGTAATGTAATGGATATAATTAAAAATCTTTCGCAATTCGTTTTTTGTTTCTATGTATTCGAAATTTGCCTATAGCCTTGGTAGTTGTACATAAAAATAGCCATGTTCAATGTGAGTTACACAAATAAACATAAATGAAAAATTAAAAAAAAATACAGCCAATAATTTCAGAACATTATAAAATATTGGAAGTTGCTTTTGAGCATGTTTTTACGAAAAAAGACACAAGTTTGTTTGAGCAGACGACTAATTGAAATAACGGCAAGCAATTAATAGTAATATTAAGAAGCAGAGAAGATAAAGTCTGAAAAATTAAATGAAGGTGCTTAATTATTTACGACTGCAGCTCGAAAGCACAACAGTCGGTACCTAAACTTTTAGAAATACGAGGCAGCCTGAACTCATGTGTTTACAAACATTTGCTCACGAGTACACTTTTTTATTTCGACAGCTGGTTTCACAGCTACACCTCATGCAAATTCTTTCACTATAACATAAAATTCGGTGTCCTCAAACTCATAAGTTTACTTTGACAACTGGTTTGACAGCTATCCCTCTAGGAAATCCTTCCACTATAAAAAAATAAAAATCCGTTATCCTGCATGCAATAATGCCTTAAGCGTAATGAAATTAATGCCAAATATGTATATTTCGAATTTAGTTTTAAAATGTTTGAAAATCTTTCCTTTTCCAGTTGAACAAAAATGTTTTGAAAATAGGCAAATTACTTTTGTTAATGCACACATTTAAAAATGCATAACAGTGTCAGAAAGTCTAAATGTTTATAGAAATGTTAATATTAAAAAAAAAAAATAAAAAAAAAAATTATTTGTCATTTTTCTTTCCGAATTTCGTTTTAATATTTGACATTTTTAAGCAAATGCGTCAAATAATAAAGCGTATAAGCTTTTTCAATAATAAAGTACAGCAACTCAAAGGAAACCACTGCTATAAATTATGCAACAAATTGTTTGGATTTTCCCAAAATTATTGCGATATTTTACCAAAATGACAATTTGGATAATTGCCAGGATTTAAACTCGTTAAGCTGGTGATTAAACGCATTAACAAACAAAATTAAATTATTAATAATTATGATTCGAAAAATAACGGTATTTTGCTGTTTTCAAAGTACAAAGTTAGAATAAAAATAAATTCACAATTTTAAGTGTTAATGTGTCTACCTGGCTTTGGTCTCTTAGCAAAAATTTTGGAGCTACTTTTTATTACATAAGACTTTCTAACCACTTTTGAATATATTTCTCATTATTATTTCTATTTATTTATTTTTTATTTTTTATTTTCAGAATGCATTTAATTTTCTAAGCAGTTTCAACCTAAAAATTATTTTTTTTTTCTATCTGAGGTATTCCAATATGGGATCATTTATTGGTTGAATATAAAATCGCTTTTTTACTTAATGAAGTCATAAACGACAATTTGTTGTTTTTAAATGGTGTATCCATATCATGTATAGAGTTTAGGATTATATAGGGATCATATAGCCGTTTCATATCTTCCTTTGAAAACGGTATTCAAATTGTATGAGAAGTACGCAGAGCAAAGAACGAGATTACCACTTCGCACAGAGTTACTGAAGGAATTAGACCTACACCTGGTAAACAAAATTTTGAATCTA